GCTTGGTGTGCACCGAACTTACCCTAAGTTTTTTTTGAGTCTAAAGGTGTGTGAGTGTGATTGAGAGTGATCATTCTTCATCTTTTTTTTTTTTTTTTTTTTTTATATACACGTATATTGTTGTTATTAATGTTTGTTTGATGATCAACGAGTGTTGTAGTTGTTGCAACACATCGCTTGGTGGTCCTGCGCAGGTGTGCAGGACCCCCAGGCCATTTGAAACTTACCATGAAACGCAGATAACTCTACCATATGGTAGATGACCCGCACTTTTGGGTAAGTTTTTTGTTACGTTACCTCATGCAAAATGAACCGGCTCATGCACAACACTTCTTCGTTTTTCAAGTTTATTTGTGCAGACTATTTGTAGTGATCCTTCAAGTCCCTCCTCCGCCAGGAGTGGCGTTCCCTCATGTCCACGCTAACGAGTCACATCCTGGCCGGACGACCCGTCAACATCAAGAATGAGATGGCCGAGTTCACTACCAAGTGGCACCTCAGCACTCGCAACATCGACATCCGTCTTCCGCCTCTTCCGCCAACTATCAACAAATACTTGGTGGCCGAATTCAGAGGCCTACCGTAGAAAAGAAAAGAAAGAAAAAAAAAAAAAAATGAGGAACTGTCTGTTGCTAGATCACTCAATCTAGCAAAGTCAATACATCAACTCTCAATCAACAACAGCAGCACTCAGGTGAGTGCCCTGTCACAGATTACATTTAATTTCAGTGTAAGACATCAGAAAATAAAAGATTTATTAATAGACTCTAAGCATGACAGATCCATGTGGTGGGATGGTGGCAGAGGTGAAGCTTCCGGTGAACTGGCCAAGGTCGGTCTCAGCCCACAGGTCACGAACGGTCATTGCTTGGTTTGGTGATAACCAGATGTCACCCCAGTTGAGCTGGATGGTGAAGGTGTTAGTGTCGTCGGCGTTGAAGAGAACGACGGCACGGGATCCATCGGCAAGTGGACGGGCCCAGATCTGCTGATCGCCCTGGTTGAGCGACTTGACGAGAGTGCCTTGAGTGCCCAACTTGTCCTGGTTGACGGCAATAACCTCCTTGGCAGTGTAGATGGCCAGGGTGGCGGCGTCGACGCTTCTCAAGTCATTGCCAGCAATGAGTGGAGCGGCGAGCAAAGACCACATGGAGAAGTGGGTGGTGTACTCAAGGTTGGACATGCCTCCGTTGCCAACCTCCAGCATGTCTGGATCGTTCCAGCCGCCAACACCTGAGTATGAGGCGATTGGGATCTGGGCATAGAGGATCTGAAGGAATCTGTCCCAGCTGTCGTTGATGTCGCCGGTGGTTCTCCATGAGTTGCCTACGTCTGGGCCCCAAGCCCAAGGGTTGTCGACACCCCAGTTGCAGAGCGAGAAGAAGATGGGTCTTCCAGTGGCGTTGAGGGCCTTGGACATGGTGGTGTACAGATCAACTGGGTTGTTGTTGCCAGTGTTGCACCAGTCCTCCTTCAAGTAGTCGACGCCCCATGAAGCGTAGGTCTGGGCATCAATAGCCTCGTAGCCCTCACTTCCTGGACGGCCAGCACAGGTCTCAGTTCCAGCACAAGTGTAAAGACCAAACTTCAAGCCCAAAGAGTGGACATAGTTGGCAAGGTATTGCATTCCGCTTGGGAAAGTAGTTGGATCACTGTTTGAGTTGGGAGGGGGAGATGATCAGTTGGCCAGCCAACATTGTAGATGCGAACTACAATGAGTTGTACTTACGATTGGATGACACCGTTGCTGTCTCTGGAGTAGGCCCAGCAATCATCAACATTGACGTAGTTGTAACCAGCAGCAGCCATACCGTTTGTGGCGATGGCCTGAGCCATCTGCATAATGATGGTCTCATTGATATCACAACCAAAGTGATTCCAACTGTTCCATCCCATCTGAGGAGTCAGACCTATTGATTGAACGATGAAGCATAGTGTTAGGACAGATTGTTGACCAGTCAAAATGTGTGTTTGAGTGATTGGTGATCATACCAAGTCCATTGTCAACGGCATTGGTGACAGCGACAGCGATCAAAACTGCAGCCAAGATATATCTGAGTGAGTACATTGTGTATTTATATATATGTATGAATATAACTTTATAATGTTTGCAACTTTAGAATGGACTCAATGTTGTTGCAGTAGATGGTGATGGTGCCATGGCATCCAAACAAACAACAGCAATGAAGATATTTGTTTGTTTGAAAACCATCAAAAATAAAAACAAACGCGATTTAATGATAGTGGCGATAAAAGAATCCGGATACTCGGCATTGACCAATTAGGTCCATCCACTGTTCATTGATTGATTGATTGATTGAATGCATAAATGAATGATGATGATCATCATCTACATGGCCTTAAAAGATGGATGTGGGTCACCAATAGTTACCAGGCCAAAGTCTAATGTCTCTCCTGCTCCAAGTGTTGATTGGTAGTTGGGGAGGGTGTACACGCCTGGTGACACAACAACGAGTCCCCACACAGATGCAGAATCACGAATCGGAGTTGGGCAGGATAACTTCAAATCCTTGACCGAGCTCGTACCTATGTTGGTCATCTTGCCATCGATCAAGTAGTACTTCTGATCTCCAAGATACCAAGAGTTGGTTTGATTAAGAACGAATGCAAGGTTAGGTACAGTAGATGATGTTGTTGAAGAAGTAGTAGTGGTTGACGGTGATGTCGTTGTTGTTGATGTCGAAGTAGTAGTAGTAGTTGGTGGTGATGATGTTGTTGAAGTTGAAGTTGAGGTTGTCGATGTTGATGTAGGTGTGATTGTTGTGAGAGTAGTTAGAGTTGTAAAGGGAGAGGATGTTGTGGAGGTAGTTGAGGTTGAGGTTGAGGTTGGAGATGTAGTAGAGGTAGTGGATGTCGATGAGGTTGCTGGAGTGCCAGTGGTTGATGTCGACGAAGTTGATGAGGTAGAGGAGGTAGTTGATGTCGTTGAGCCGGTTGTGGAAGTGGTCGAGGTCGTTGGAGAGGAGGTAGTTGAGGTGGTCGATGTTGTAGGTGATCCAGTTGTAGACGTGGATGTAGTCGTAGATGTCGATGATCCAGTTGTAGACGTTGTTGGTGCGACTGCCGTGGTCGATGGGCCCGTGGTGGTAGTTGTGGTTGTCGTGTTACCTGGTGTGCATGTCTGTTGTATCTGGCCATATGGTGAGAACGTGAAGTAGAATGAGTAGAGGATGTTGTTGGAGTCCGATCCAAAGGCCACAGCACTGGAACAGAAACTCAGTCGGATAATGGTGCGTTGTTGATTGATCGTGAGCGTAACCACGGCCTGGTTGGAGATGGTGAAGGCCTGAGAGTTCTCAAATGGCAGAACCACTTGGTTGACATCGAATGGCTGCAGCAGACCATTGCTGCCACAGGACTGCAGTGTGGAAGTGATCACATTGAAGCTGTTGACATTGTTGATGACAGAGAAGAAGAAGTTGCTCGTGCCCTTGGAGTTGCCTTGGAAGACGGCCACGTTACCATCCTGGTCCAGAGTGACGACACGGACACCAATGATAGATCCATTGAAGAATGGAGTCAACGTGGCTGGATTACACTGAGCATTACAACGTTGTAGCATGGCCAACTGGGCAGAGATGATGAGAAGTAGTACCAACAGACAATGATTCATAGTTTGATTGTTAAGTTGGTTAGTTAGTTATATCTATGTACAAGATAAGAATATAATTATTAGTATGATATGGATATGGATATGGAGTTGAGGTTAAAGGTTATGACAATCCATCCTTTATATATTCTCCGGTTCCTTACCTAGGTGGCTGGCTGGCAGGCTGGGCTGGCTTGGAACAAATACATGTTTCAAAGTTGGTGACACTACATACCTACCAACTCGGGGTGTCAAAGAAATGACAGGTATCATTAATGTCATTGCTACTACCATCAACTACACCCTGGTTGATGATGGCAACAACAATGACACTGAAGTGAGTGAGTGATTGATTGATTGATTGATTGATTGATTGATTGATTGAGTGGGTGGGAACATTCCTTCACACTCCTGTCGTTGTTAACAACGACTGGCAACCACACTATGAGTAACAATCCATCATTGCCTATCTTATCTCTTTCATGTTTATCTTTGATTGCGGTCGACAAGTCACTTTGTGTTGTTTATGTGTTAGTTCATTCAAATAATGCCAAACTGTGTGAGACCTTAGGCTGAAGATCCACTCACACTCTCCCCACACTAACTCTAAAGATACAGATACAGATCAAGGATATATATAGTAATAATAATAATAATAATAATAATAGCAATGATATATAGTCTATTAATCACAAATATAAATGGCAATGTATTGTTGTCAAAGAATTATAATGCAGCAAGTGATGAGAAGCAGATGGAGTATGAGAAGTCACTATATCAATTGACAAAGGATGAGTGGACATTCGCAAAGAATGAGAGGCATCTCGTTGCTGAGTTGACTTCGTAAGTTCATTCATGATTCAACTCAACTTCAAAGCCATACTAATATCAATCAATCAAATGAATGATGATGAGATAGAAGTGCAACTATTGTAGTATACACCAATGTTGGTGAGTTGATGTTGTTCTTGGCTGGTTCTTCAGAGACATACGATGAGTTAGCTTGTAAGTTGTGTTGAAGGAGATGGAGGACATACATGTACTAACCATGAACTTGATGAACAATGTTATAGTATCAGATATATTGAACCCAATATCAGAATGTTTAAAGGATGTTTGTAAGAAGAAGGCAGTAACAGAGTTATTGTTCATTGAACAGATACCAAAGTTTGTACAATACTTGGACGAGATCATTCAAAGGGTAAGACAGTTAGTACTCCCAACAAAGTGAATCAATGTTCACTAACTCAATCATTCAATCAAACAATCAAACAGGGTATACTCGATCAGACACAATTCGAAAGTATATCAAACTATAGTCAACTGAAGCATGATAAGAAGGAGACAGTGTAAACATACAAACAAACAAAAGATGACGATGACAATGATGAACATGACGTTTGGAATTGGCTGATGCGCTGTTGTTGTTGATCAACTCAATCAATAAACAACCAGCCGCCAGCCCCATGTGGAGTGCGAGCATTGTGTGTGTATTACTAGATAGATAGATCGTCAATGCCCCCTAGCATTCAGATTCATTGCATTGCCTACATGCTTATGCTATGCTATCATCCGGGCCTTCCAGACCTGCAAGTCCGTTATTTCTGTGTAAGGCCCAACAACGGCATTGCCGCTCTCTCTCTTCTCTTCCTCAACCTCAATCTTAAATACCCGATCGCCAATAGGGTGACGCTTGGGTTCAAGTTCACCAAGTCTCCACGCATTGCGCAATTGCAATGACAATAATATCAAGGCACAGAACTGTCTAGTCCGGTCCAGTCCAGTACTCATCTCATCTTTGTCGATTGAGTGCGCCATTCAGTGACACAGGCCAAACAAAGCAATCAACCATGTACCGCGGCACAATACCTGCGGAAGTAACTAAGGAAGGAAGGAATGAATGGAAAAGGAAGGCAAAGGCAAGAAATAATGTTGACTGGCCAACGTGAAGCGTCTTAAGCTTCGACGCTTTCCGTCGCCTGTTGGATGGATGTTATGATCCAGACCAACAACCAACAGGTCATTTGCTTACCAAGCCCAAAGAATCCTTTGGCGCAATCAGTTGACAACAGAGACTTGGACCATCTGCAAATAACTCTATCAACATCACGTGTTTTACATTTGCAAGGTTATGAGACGATTGATCAACCCCCACTTCCAAGATGAAGGGCCATTTCATGGACCTGACCCACACGCACGAGTACCCCGACTTTCTATTTGCACCATCGTCGGTACTTTTTTGGATGTAGTGGTGACACGACTTGTCGGTCGTCCGCATCGTTGGACAGGTGATGCTGGATTGCGGAGACTATACTATACTAGTATGCCTATCCTGGCTACAACACATCCTTCAAGATCATGCGTGTGGGTTGGAGGAAGCATATCGGTGATCGAAGCAAGTAAGTGTCAATTTCCAAGGAAGGATATCCTTCCACTCTGCTCATCATCATCATCATATTTAGATCATATTCAATCAACATGTTGGCAGGCCTTGCCTGGCTACGCCTCTGACCTGGCAGGGTAATCTTTCTTTCTTTTGGAAGGATAATGAGAGTGGAAGGCTGGGTAGGTCGCCGCTTACTACCCTGTATCCACCTCGAGGGGTGGGTTGGCAACTAGCTTGGGTTCCAACTTGACGCCCCACCACAGGGCGGTTCACCAAACCATCACAGTCAGACAAGACATTACAAGGCAAAGGAGAGGATTATGATTAGAGTGAATCTAGACAACTGATCAAGTTAAGTAAAGTAGGTCAATCAAACACCTTCTTATATCATTTATCTAGCCAGACCACTGGAAACAAACAATCAAACATATATTATCCAATGATGATGTCTGTACACAGTAAGTCCTCATGTCCATCATCCAATCAATCATTCCATACTAACACTCAAACAATCAGAGCCCCATATTACCTGTATTATAGTAATAATATTGACTGTGTTGTTAATCAATGTCAATGTATCGAACGCCGTCAAGATTGAGTCTGCCACAATGACTCATAGAACTACAAATGTGGTCGGAGTGGAGATGGAGTACGCTCTGATGGACATCACTTTTGACAAGGATGTCTACATCTATGACTCGGTCGCATGTCCCAACTACACATGTCCAACAGCCACCATTGACTGCACTTGTGACTACACCGACCCCAAGGCATGCCCCAAGACTGGATCGGGAGATCCCTCCTGTCCGCCATGTCCAGCGACCAGCGTGTCTGGCAAGCCAATGTGTGACTTTTCCCAAAACCCCTGGGTCACACTGATTGCCAACCAGGCCCAAGTCCTCTCCAATCTCACTGATCCCGTATACATCAGATACAAAGCTGCCACCAACTATTGTGAAGCTCTCAGGGTATGTCCACACTCAATCATGATGGAATGATTCATGACCCTAACCCTCACCCTCACTTCACAGCTCTATGTATCACAGGACCAAGGAGGAGTTGAGATAAGATTGAATACGATCGAGCAAAACACTCAGTCTTATGGCAGGATCATTGGTTATGGCAATGTGGATGTAATCAACTTTATGAACATCTGTCCGACTGACAATGCGTATGCCCCGGACTGGACAAACAACACCTACTTCATCAAGATCATCCCAACGAGTGTGCCTGCCACCATATCGGTTGTGTTGCTGTCTGGTCCAATCTCCAAGCCTGAGCCTACGGCGCCCAAGTGCAACAACCTCACCGAGACGCACCAGTGCGTGAATGACGGCGACCAAGTGGCCAAGGAGATCACTGAGTACTATGACTCTGGTCACTACACCTACAGCGTGAACCAACCCCAGACCTTGACCATCTCCTGTCCCACCCTACAGCAGGACATTGACTTTTACGTGTCGCTCAATCCAAATGACCCCTTCCCTTCCAATGAGAGCAGTGACTATGCTCAGTTCCTGCCAGGTGACGATGAGCTCACGCTCACTCTGGCGCCACACGCCGATGGCTCGCCACTGGTGTTGTACGTGACGATCATGCCGTACTACCCATCCAACTACTCGTGCGTCTTCACTACAACCGCCACAAGATTCAAACGTTCAATTGCTGACAACTTTGGCCGCGGTGGCTCGCTCCTGATGATGGGCACCTCCGACCTCACCGTCAGCGGCACTCGCTACCAGTGTCTCAACTGGGGCAATGCAAACCCGTACACAGCACTGTTCCCGCGCACTCACAACAACCCACTATGGCCTGTGCCCTACTTACTCAGCACTTCTTCGCTGTTCAACAACATCAACTTCTTTGATGGCATGGTGTTTGAAGAGCCGTCCAACCTTCCCAAGGCACGCACCTACCAGGCTGCCTACCTGCTGTCGTACAGCTTCTACGGCACGGACAAGACTGTGCTGGGCACGATCGAGGAGTTGGAGCAGGCTCAGCTCGGATTCAAGAACATCTTGGTGGATATAGATGGCCTGCCTGTTACCGGACCAGTCACATTCACCTTGGTGAACGCCACATGTAACTACACCGACTACCAGACCGTTCTGACAGAGATCACCGACATTGAGGAGACTATATTTGCATCGATGGATTACTCTGAGGTGTCAACACTACGCTACAAACTGGACACCTATACCTTGCGTGATGGATGGTATGGCTGCTACTCCCAGGCCACTGAACTGCTCACAGTCGACACGGTCGACACCATCCAATCATCAACCATCTGTCCCTACCAAGTTGGTGACCCACTCTTCAACGTTGATCCATGTTGCAACACATCCAACGCCTTCATGAAGTGCTGTGCGCCACGTAACATCACCGTCCCAGTCAAGTCATTCGTTGGACTTAAGAACAGTAAGTTGATCACTCTCATTCATTCAATCAATCGATCAATCAATCATACTGACATCCAACCCTCACCTAACATAGACATGGTCAAGCAACAATGTTCTAGCTATGATTGCACATTGTCTGTGCTCGACGAGTACCATCATACATTGGGTGGCATCGAGACTGGAGAGTGCAGCATCTCTGATGATCAGTACAAGTCAATCAGAGCAAGCTTTGCCGAGGTCTTTAGGAGCTGTAAGAAGGTCTATGACAAGGTGCCTTGTAGCAACGATGCTCAATGTGGTGGCAACCTTTGCAACTTGTACACGCGTACTTGCGAGCCCACTCTGGAGGTCCAGGACAAGTCCTACATCAATTGCATCGTCAATCAATCATTGCCATCAACTCTCTACTTCCTCAAGTACCAGGTTGGTCTACAGAACGTCACGGATAACAGTCTGTTGGTGGACCTGTTGTACACTTCATTCCTCAAGGACGACTGCGCTTCATACACTGGACTCGACTTTAGAACAACATACTCCTACGACACGGCCAACCCTGGTGCCAAAGTCTTCTACCCATCGCCAAAGTGCCTGGACCAGTACTGCGTCATTCCTCACGACTTCAAATATGAGGGCATATATGCAGGCTTCCAGTTCCTGCCCACAACTAGCACACAGGCAGCCTGCGCTGCCAACGCCATTTGTCCATCGACCCACTGCACATCCCAGACACCAGGTTGCATCACAAGCTGCCCAACCACAGGCTTCTGTGGCCATTGCTCGCACAATCAATCAATGTGCCACACATTCGCAGGTCTGACTTCTGACACCACATGTGGCGAATCAAATAACGTATGTTTGTTGCCAAATGGCCAGTCTGTCCCTGGCTTGACCGACCAGGAGTGTGCCAATCGTGGAAGCTGCAGCAAGCCTTGTGGAATGACTTGCACTGGATCATACACTGGATGTGTTGTCGCCACTGCCCAATCACAAGACACATGCAACGGTATAAGCGGTGCAGTATGGCATGTCGGTACTCAGTTCTGCTCGACCAGTGACACTGTGACTCAGTGCCATGACAATGGTTACACCTGGGTCAACTGTTCGACAATGGACTCCTCATCATGCTTTAGCCGTGTAGGACAGTTCGCTAATCAAACAGAGAACATATGCAAGGCCACTCCAGTAGAGTGTCAGACAAGAGAGCAGTGCGAGACTCAAAGTGGCCAGTGCTCAGACTCATACTACTTTGACCCAAGTACCGTGAAGAACTACCCGGCTGGCTTTGGCAAGTGTGTACATGGCCATCACATCTACTTCAGCTACATTGTGACACCAACTTGCAATCAGACAGAGCACGACTCGCCCAAGGGTTGTTACTCACTCAAACCCAAGTCATATAATGTTGACGAGTGCAAGGCAATGGGTGACGACTACTCATGGTGGACTCAGGCCACGACCAAGGACGCCTGCCTTCAGCCAAAGGGCTGTCTGGTCCCAGACTCCACACCTAGTGCCTTTGACAACCAGTTCCGTTTCAACGAGATGTCCATGGAGGAGTGTGGCCTTTGCACCAATCAATGGACCAACATGTTCCAGTGGACCCAAGGACAATGGTTGCCCGGTGTCCCTGTAAAGCCCAAGTGGATCCCTGTCAGTGGCCCTGTCACTGTCTCTAGCTGGCGCCCTGTTTTCGACTTCCAATCATTCTCTGTCCAGTTTGGTCAGGCCTTCTATGGTTACCTTGTTGACCTGTTGCGTTCGTCTGCCATGTGTAGAATGGAGCGTCTACAGAACAACCTTCAATCAATCTCTTGCAGCTGCTCTGGCCCAGGCGGCTCACAATGTTTCTCGTCGTCGGCCCTGATGATTGGATCGACCAGCGCATGCGCCATGCAGTCATCCAACTTCACGTTTGCCTTTGGCGCGCTATCCTTCACTCCCTACTCCGTGCCAATCTCCTGCGTCAATGTGATCGTGTCACATCTCAGCAAGCAGCAGTACAAGGCCACATCATACCAATCTCTCAGCTCCAACTTTGTCTCGTATAAGAAGCCAGACAACTTTGGCATCCTCAACGAGCGTGGCGCAGTTATTGGTTCGATCCTGAACGATGGCATCAAGATCCAAGCACGCGGAGTCAACTCGCTCACAGTGTGTCTGCTTGGTGGCAGCACAACCTCTGAGTTCCCAGTGTTTGACTTTGCCGAACAGAATGAGAACAAGTCCAGCCTGCTCACACCACTCAACCTCAAGCAAATCGTGACCGTGGCCAACCCAGACCCATCGCAGCCGTCATTTATCTGCGCCAACATCACCTTGTCATCACACGAGCCAACATACTTCCCCATCATCCGTGTATCCAACAACGACTGGAAGTCCAACAAGCGTGAGGTCTTTGACAAGACTGCCACTGCCTTGCTCTACACACTTGGATGCCTTTTTGGAATCAACGCACTATGGGGTATCTTCCAACTCACAATGGTGCTGTACACTAAATGCACGCAGCCCAACTCGAGCTTCAAGTTGGTCCAGTTGCTCATCCTCACAGTGACTGTGTTTATCACTATCCGTGCAGTGTACTTCTTCATCCTGCCGTCTGGCAAACTGTCCGAGTCACAGGTGGCCGACTACATTCTTGTCGTACTGCCGACATTTATCTACTTCACAGCGTTCACCGTCATCATTGTGATCTGGTACATCATAGTCAGCTCAAAGATCCACATCAACTTCTTCTCGCGATTCAATCAACTGGTTGGCATAATCAATGTGGTTCTCTACGTCCTGTTCATCATCATTGTGTTGGTATTCAACTATACCAAGCTTATCTTGGAGAATGACTGTGGCGCAAGACGTGTCATCGAAGTGTCCAGCACAACACCTCAACGCATCGTCTCAATCTTCTACGCCACGGTACAAGCAGTCATCTCACTACTTATTGGTGCGGCCTTTGTCTATCTTGGAGTGTCCATCCATATGTTGATGAAGGTGCGTCGCAATATGACTGATCGTGCCGAGTCCAAGTTTGCTCAACAACAAAAGATCTTCTTGGTGACCGCCACATGTTCAGTCGGCTTCGTACTACATTGTGCATTCGTCTTGGTATTGGTAGGCGCAGAGCCATCCAATGTAATATTCAGTTTCATTGGACTGATTGTAACAGAGATCATACCAACAATGAGCATCCTCTACGCATACAACCAAGGACATCTATCCGTTTTACGTTGGTCCACTAGCAGTGGTAGCAACAGTCTACAGAACGTCACGCCAAGTTTCCAACATAATGAAATGAGTGCCACTACTGCCGGAGCAACCAATGCCAACTCCCTATCAAGATAGTCATATACACACCTACATACACAATTAAACGCATATACCCTTTATTATCTCTCTCCCTTATTATCTCTTCCTACCCGGATGAGAATGAAAGGGTGAAGTTCACCACCTTGAGCTCAAGGATTATCAAGATATGAGCTGGTGTTGAGCGTGGGTTATCTGTCCATTCTACAACACAACACAATACCAAGAACAACAGTGTTGACCACACCACACCCATCTTTGATTTCTTGTAAGTCCATCTCCGACATTGAGATTGGAGATAGGATCAATGATCCCCATTATCTTCTTATTATCATTATCCATATTTTAATATATCAAATAAATAAATACCAAACAAAAAAAATAAATAATTGTCTAACCAAACATAAAAATAATAATATAATAATATCTCACTATTTTAATTATGACCTTATTATTAAATAATAATGGAGTTGATCCAAATATCCAAAATATGATTAATAATAATTGCTCTCTCGAAACAATCTCTTTGAAGACCGTAGTATCACCTTCCTTATCATCATCTCCAAGTACACCAGTACCAAAGACAATGTCATCTCTATTCTCAAGTGTACTTGGCAATATTGTACTTCGCAAGAATATCATGTCTTCAATCTCAACAATTAGTGATCGTATCCATTATGAGCGTACCGTACGAGTTGTGAGAAAGGGCATCCAATGGAAAATTCCAGAATCACATCGATCAAAATTCCATCATTGGTGCGATATGAACGTCATCTTAAAGCATGGTCATGTTGGTCTTCTTAAGTACCGCATCAAGTTGAACCTCTTCATCGGTGACAATAGGGCATTCCAGTGCCCAATTGAACTATTTATTCCAAGCTTTCAAAGAATGGATGCAGACACCTTTGGATATCTCTGTCAACATTTCCCATCCAAATTCGTCAGTGTTCCAATGATGCAAACCGTCATCCAGTCTGGCAATATGGATATTGTCAATGTGTTGTACAATCAACTCCCTTTGATTGGTGTTTCAACAGAGCCGTTATGGGAGGCAGCAATTGATTGGGAGGATATCAATGTTCTGGAGTACCTAAGAGATCAAGGTATTCTCTATTCATCTCAACTTGTTGCCATTGCTAAGCGTCTTTATTCTACTCGCTCTGGACCCTTCATTCGTTCTGTTTTGGCCCCTGGATTCCTTTCAACACAAACTACAACCATGATCAGATCACTGGCACCTCAAAACTCACTTGATATCCTCTTGACAAATGATCAACAACTAGTTGATGAGTTGCTACCAATGGGCGAATGGCAAAAGGATCACCACACACCCTTAGAGTCAGTCACATCAGAGCAACTGAGATTTGATACTGTTCATCAACTTTGGGAACAGATTGAAAGATTGACCAAGTATGGACTTATCCCCCCAATGAGTGATTCTGTTAAACAACAAGCCAAGGTAGCTCTCAGAGATTCCAAGGACAACACCATAGCGCTGATCGGTGACGGAAGAGATGGAGATGACAAAATGGCAGCTGCATTTTCAATGAGCGATGAACAAAGAATGGTCTATGTCAACTTACTCAAGCATCCGAAGGTGTCCTTGGATCACTTGGTGAATCATATCCTCATGCAGTACTGTTCCACTGGCGACTGCGCCCTCCTTCACTTCTTCATGGTTACAATTCCCCAATTATATTGTATGTTCAACAACATTGTGGAGCATGGAACTTTACTTCAGGCTCAGGTTGCTATGGGTATTGTTGAAATGTTGCCGGATGAGATGACATTGTATACCTTTGATGGCATGACTCAGCTTAGTCTCTTCACTGATCAAGATGATACTGGTGTCAAACTGGAGATTCTCAAACACCTCAACACTTTCAATGTCACACTTGGACCACCTCCAAATGGCATGAACTACCAGGTCCTGGCCAAACTCGTCTTTGATGTCCCCATGGATACAATCAACTTTCTCATTTCAAATGACAACAAGATATTGCCTCTTGATCAGTTTGGATGTTTGTTTATTGACCACCACATCTTTGAAAGGGTGTACAGCAACAAACCAGAAATCATTGATATTTCTTTCCAAATGAGAGTGGCTGTTCAACTTGGCGACATTCGAATGATGGAGATGATCTTGGAGAGAGACCCAACCATCCTTGATGACGTGGAGTTTGTATCAAGCCAAGTTCTCAACCTTTCAATCACCAATCGTCCGCATATTCAAATGCTCCAATGGCTACTTGAGCATTTGAAGTCGACACCACTTAACAATTATCATTTCTGGGTCTGGGTTGGACTAAGTGGTGACATTGATCTCTTGGACTTGGCAATGAAACATTTCAAACCGGATACCCCCAACCTCCATTTAATGTTGGTCAGTGCAATGGAGGATTGTCAGTTCAACCTCATCAAACATCTTTACTCTAAATATCAATCAATCTTCGCTACAATTCATGGTCATCTATCAGTTATTGTGTCTGGCAATTTAGAGATGATGAACTTCATATTCAAACTGGACCCCTTGGAGATTGACTATGAGTATTTTGAGGAGTGTTTAAAAGGCGATACTGTTAGAGATAGGATGGACAACATTACCAAGATTATACTCTCAATATTCCAGGAGACTGGCAACACAATTAGGATGGAGAGATTATTATCTTGTATGGACGATGAAATGAAGTCAAAGTTCAAGACTGTGGTCATACCCAACTTTACCAAGGATTTGATTGAGAAACCCGATGTAGTAATGCTCAGGTATCTAGTAGACAATGGTGCCAAGCTCAATCTAAATGGTGTCTCCCTATTGCCAGGATTCAAGTCCAGTGCACCCATCAGGACTGTAATCAGATTGTACCAAGATAAGCAAAAGAAATAGAATAATAAAGTTAATATTTCAATCAAAATCTGTGAAATACTTTTGTGATTCCCAAAGTTGATAGTTGAGTAAATTAGTAGTTTTGTTTTAATGTCTAATCTCCTTTTATATAGTAGTTCAGTTTATTTATCTGTTTGTCAAACTCGGTGGTCAAAATTTTCAGCACAAAATCGATGATTAAAACCGTCTTGAACATCAAAAAGGTGCCGTAGCTCAGTGGTAGAGTAGAGGATTGCAAATCCTTTGGTCGACGGTTCAATCCCGCCCGGTACCTTCTCTTTTCAAAATTCTATTCTTTCCTAGAGGTACAAAATTTTTTTTCACTTTCAACAAATCAAATGACCGTTCATATATTAATATAGTAACATTTATTGTGACTGTTTGTTCAATGGATATTATTGTTCTGGATCAAGACTGGCATTCAAGTACATGTCATCATTGTCCATGGGTGGATTTGTAAGGTTAAAATATTTTTAACTTTTTATCGTTAGTTATGGTGGAATATTATTTACCATAATATATAAAAGTCAAATAGTGTTTTTACCATACAGTATTTGAACAAGAGGTTTTATTTGTAACTGAAACTGATTCATTCGAAATCAAAATCGTCAGGAGATATTGGAACATGAGAAGTATTGGTGTTCTTAAAGATAACATTGATATGTTTCATATTGGAAAGCCTCTCTTGGATGCTAATATCAAAGTAAAAGTGATCATTCTTAAGGTACAATGAATGAAGAGACCTGTTAAGACACATGGCATCATAGAACCTCTGAGCAGACGATAGTTCCAGTCCATTTAATCGATTATCGCACAATGCCAGTAACTTGATCTTTGTGTGGTTTGAGGCAAACACTTGGCTTAGGCTATCAAGGGCAGTATGGTCAATGGACTCCACAAGCTTGAGTTTTTTAAGATTGCAAGTCTGATTGCATAAGGACTTGAAAAAGTCTGCATCGACAATGAACCAATACGTGGACGACCTAATCCAACAGTAATGCCCGTGTCGTTCGCGAACTCAAACGAACCACATTGATTAGGAATTTCCATTTATTTTTTTGCCCTGTCCACATGATCGAATAGGTCCGGTCCACGAGGTCGAATGGCGGTGTCCTCACTGAGTAGATGTCGTTCTCTTGTTGGCATAAGTCTTCTTGTAGATGTCCTCTGTGATAATCTTGTCGGTCACCTTCTTGAGTATCTTGGGAGCAGTAGTAGTCTTTTGTTTGGTACACGTTGATTTTTTCCTAAAGTTAACCTCCCTCCCCCTCACACATCTCCATAGTACCTTCATCGACTTGGAACAAAAAATTGGATTCACATAGAGTTAACAACAGGTTTGTGGGTGTGACTAGTGCCTCCATCCTCATGTATTTCCTAAAATTAACCTCATGATAACTTGCAACAAACATCGTCGACGACGTTGGGATCATTGACCAGACGATACTTGATGTTGACCAGATGATACTTGATGACTTGTATAGCAGTGTGCAATGCATTGAGAGTGAATGAATGGAGTGATTATCCAACAGTGAAGGATGTTTGTGCCACTTGCTCTGTTTTGTTGTTGTTTAATGGATTTGATTGTTGTTAGTTGTTGTTGTTGTTGATTGTTTGGTTGATATTGCTGTTGTTATTGATGTTGATGTTGATGTTGATGTTGATGTTGATGTTGATGTTGATGTTGATGTTGATGTTGATGTTGATGTTGATGCAATTTCATGTTGATTGTTTAAATATACATACAGAGAAGAGAGTGTGTGCGTGAGTTGATCGTTGTCGCAGTTGTGATTGATTGATTATTGCTGTTGTTTGTTGTTGTTTGTTTGTTGTTATGTTGCTGCAGTTGATCGTTAGTACAGATAGAGAGATTGCGTGTGTTGTGATTGATTGTGGTCCCTACTGTTGTGATTGATTGATGTGGCTGTTGTTATAATTGTTTGTTTGTTTGTTATTGTTTGATGTCGCTGCTGTTATTGTGATTGATTGCTATTGTTGTTGATGTTATTAACACTGGATACTTGTTGTTATTGATTGATTGACGTCACTGTTGTTGATCGTTGACTGTTGGAAATTTGTTGCTGCTTGAACTGTTGTTAATCGATGCTGTTTAAATGATGCTCAAGTATATTGAAGAGTATAATGCATATTTAATTAATAGATTGCTATTTACTAACAGTAAACTAACTATAAATGTAATGACACATTTAGAATGTATACAAATATATATAAAGTTGACAATACCTTGATCAATGATCTACACATTTGGTGATCATTTGTGTGAGCGAGATGTTTGAAAAACAGTTAAAGTCGCGCACGATTGGTGACCTCTGCGTCAATTCCCCTGTGAGAGAATTGCTGTGTGATTGCACGACTTAAGAATTTGAATTCGTTTTTACATAGTAACTTAATATGAGGGTTAACAATAGGAATCAATCGTAGTGTTGTTCGTCTTCTTGGAGTTCAACCTCTTGGGACTAGGTGCATCTGACTCATCCTCAGACTCGCTGTCATCCCATTGTTGATCTGGCTCATCCTGTTCGTCATCCTCATCGTCAGATCCTTCAAAGAGCTTGGTGGCTTTTGCTCCTTTGATCTCCAAAGCAATCATTGACTCGTCGAGATCATCCTCCAATGCCTTCCTCTTGAGGAAGGCACTCATGTTGGAGATGTTKACATTAACTTCTTCAAGTGACTCGTTTGGCACTCCATTGTGGATGTCGTCAAAGGAAGAGTCGCTGAAAGCATCTTTCGCCACCACCTTCGTCTGATTCTCGACTAGACGTTTCCTAATCTCCCTTGCACTCTTGGCCTTGGCGGCCCTTCGCTCTTCTTCTCGCTTGATGGCTCTCCTGTACCTTCTCCAGACTACTCCACGGTAGTTACTGTGCTCGTTGTCCACCAGGGCATTGGCTTCAATCAATTGATTGGTCAATTGACAGCAGTTGTAGAAGTCCTGATCGAGGAACTTGTGGTCAAGCTCGTATCTGAATCGAAAGAGGAGATATCGGTTGACCAAACGACCAAAGAAGCACTCGATGACCACTCTCCTCTGGGTGAGAATCTTGTTCTTTAGCTTCTCTTCTTTACTGGCCTTTGCAGCTCGGGTG